TATTTCGAAACCTCGTTTTTCAATTTATCAATTTCATAAACACAACTTTTTAATCAAATACCAACTTTCTTTTTTGCATGTTAAATTTTGTAATAATGAGTATAACGTAGAATTGTAGAAAGTGGCTTAATTTGGTCGAGAGAATGATTATATTTTTTTCCTAAAATCTTTTCTTTATTTAATTAAATAAATGTATATTTTTTTTAATACAATTTAGTAGATTCAATTAATTCAATCACTTCAATCATAGTTTCATCAGATTCTGACGTTTCTAACACCGTCAACGATTTGTCAGATATTTATAAGCTACACTAAAAACTACTCTCTCCATTCCAGATTAAGGTTTTCTTTTTCTTTTTTATTGTCATTCAAGCTAAATGTTCTTATTTATGTTTTACGGAATAATTGTCACTCTTATGTGATGATTTAATCATCAGATATTGAAATAATAAATTTACAAATTATAAAATCACAATTACCGTCAATGACAATAATATACTCCCTTCATCTCTTTTTATTTAACCAAACACTGTTTTTCAAGTCAAAGTTGTTCCACTTTGACCGATTATATATTTATACACAGTAATATTAATAATATGAAATTTATATGAAAACGTTCTTTGTTAAAAATACTATCACAAAAGTATAAAATTAGTAAGTTTCACATAAATATATTATTTAAAATAATGGATCAAACTTTATCATTCAAACCTATTTTCATAATATACTCAAATGATCTTACTTAATTATTGTTTAAATAACTATGTCATTTTAGTTTACCCATCGGATTAAAAAAAAAAACTATATCATTTTACAATGAGAATCTTTAGCTGGGATAGATGCAGTGTGATATAAATAAAAAAATTAATACCCAAAATTGATGAAAGAAAAAGTATAGGCCTTGTTTGGAGAATGGCTTATCAGCCAACTTTTGGCTTCTTTGACTATAATAAATGATGTTGACCATCTAAGCCACCAAAATTGTTGTTTGGTAAATGGATTATTGGCTCAGATTCTTATACCCAATAAGCCGAAATGTGAAAAGCTGGGGTGAGCAGCGTTTGCAATCGGATTATCCATTTCTCCCTTTTGTGTCCTCCCTGTTTCACGCACTCTGTATACTAGAAGGGGATATAAAACACTTGGACGGTGAATTTGAGTTTTTTTCTTTCAATCGTTGTGCTTTCAATCATGTTGCAATACGTTATTTTTTATACACTTTTAATAAAAATTTGTGTATCAATTTTCTTATGAGACACACTTTGGCACTCAAACAAACTAGACGTTACGTTTTTTTGTAATTAGAGTTCAACTTATTCGAATCAAACTATCAAATAAAGTATTCATATTTATTTATTTATTTATTTATTTATTTATTTTATTTTATTTTCCATATATAGTTGTATTTCTCAATTATTAAAATATCTAAATTAATGAGTGGTTGATACCGAGTAAGTAATTGTAGCTAATATTGTTTTTATAAGTAATACTCGTAGTTTAAAAAATAAATATATATTAGTGTCCTTATACGTCTTTTTGTACTAAAACAGCTATTCTTGAACATCCAATTTACCAAACAATTACTGACAATAAGCCAATGTAATCAGCCAATAAAAACAGCTAACACAACCAGCTATTTCCAAACATCTATTATAACCAGCTAATAGCTAACAGCTAACAGCCGATTGCCAAACAAAACCATAGTCAAAATTTATAGTACCCTTGAGGTTCGTGCCTAGTTAATATGAATCAATCAAAATATTACAATGGAACGGTTAAAATATAAATAAATGATTATATAATGATATGATATGGACCAATCATAGGTGTTATATTACGAGCTCGTTTGGTAGCACGAAAATGGGCTGTTTTGGCTGATTCTGCTGAAATTTATGAAGTTCTGGCTGAAGTGGTTGTTTTGGCTGTTGCTGTTGTTTTAAGTAAAAATTATTTTTAAAAAATATTTTATTTATAAAATAAAGAGAAAAGGGTCAAATAAGACCTTCTACTTTTGTCAAACCGTCACATAAAGCCATCTACTCAAAAAAGTGTCATAAACATATCTTTACTTTTTAAAAACGATCATATGAGGCATGATGACCTTTTCGGGACTGCCTAATCCCGGTTAATGCTTACCTGTCCATGATTTCAGTAAATCTTTGCTTTTTATTCCACATCAGCCCCTTATCATTCATTTTAAAAGACCAAGCCACTCTTTACGTTCATTAAACGCCGGTCTCCCAGAAGAAGCTAGGGTTCATCTCAAAGCTTATTGACATCAAATTCTTCAGCCTCGGCATGTCGTCAACTTCATTCACCTCAAATCCAAGGACGAGTCCTAATTTATTGTTATTGCGGATTAAAAGCGTCGTTGACTCGTTGTGTGTGGGAAGGGAAAGTGGCCAACAGTTCTATGGGTGCCAACGATGGAAAGTAAGTGATTGTGAAGTAGCTCTATGAAATTGTTTTTCGTTTTGGGGGATTTTGTGGGGAATAATTTTTTTTAAATATATTCGATGATTTTTAGTTTGGAGGAATATTTTGGTTGGGTGGTTCTGTCAACCGATTGTATACACATGTAATATGTTTTTATTTTTATGATTTTGGTGCAGGGGGGATGCAGGTTCTTTTCTTGAAAAGAAGAAAGTGATGCTAAATGGGAAACTTCAGAGTTGAGCTGGCAGGAGGGGAAGGGGCTTGTTTTTTAGTTAAGAGCTGAAGTTCGTGAGTTACGAGCTGCGTTGAAGTCTGAAATTTGACTTATATATGGTTGACTACAATTGTAATTGCGTTTGTTGTGGTAGCAATGACTATGATGTTGTATGTACTACAAGGAAAGAATTAAATTCTAGTATTGTAATTGTGTAGTTCTTGTAACTACGGGATTGAAGTAACATTGTATGACAATGTAATCGGCAGTTTTAATTTCTAATGTAAAGGCTTATGCATTTCAAATTTTTTTAATGATTTGTTTAATGAAGTAACATGCCATTTTTGACACGTTTTAATCTGGAATCTGTCAATATATGCCCATGAATATATATATCCAAATTGTGATACATTAGCTAACTGCTGCTAACATGTTTTAGATGTCAAAATCAGTTTTACATGTGCTCCAACTGCTGCTAACAGCTGACATTTGCTCTATGATGCTGCTGCCAAAAACTTTTAACATTAAAAATCAGTTTGCTATCATACATGTGTGCAATATTAATGAAATGAACCATTCATAATAAAGTACAGCAGCTGAATGATATATTAACCACAACTATATGTCAGCTTAGAGCCAATTTATATATCCAAAATACTCCACTATGAAAGGAATATCATGAAATCAGGAGTTTAGGAATGTATATTAACAATAAAAATATACTCCAGCACAATGTCATGCTTCTCATTCCCTATTCAGATATTCAGAGCACTGTTATGCTGTTAAAAGTATATGGTTCTAACAGGGAGAATACAATTGAAAACCAAATGTTCTGGGGAAGAAATCATCATTTACAATAAAACAGTAGGGCTTAATGTGTTGGAAGAAATTAAAAATATCTTTCTTGAAACTGAAACATTGACCATAATCCATAATATCAAAAGAGCATAATCCAAAGAAAGCTCTGCAATTATCAGACTTTGAAAAAAGACAGGTGAGTTTTGACCCCTCCCGGAGTTATGTATTAAAAGCGCATAATCCAAAGAAAAATCTGCATTTTCATTTGATAGGAAAAACTTGCTTCCTTCTTTGGTTCAGGGGTTTTAGCTGAAATTGGTAAAGCACTAAAGCTTATAACATTTTCAAATTCTTTAGAATACTAAAGTATATACTCAAGAATATTTCACGTTCAAATTTTCTCCTAAACTATACAAATTTTAAATAATTTTCAAAAACAGACTTACACAAATCTGTGAAATTGAACAAAGTAAACTGACTAACTTTCCCAAAGCAACCAGTAAATGCAAACGAACGAAGCCAGTCACAACCCAAGCCGCGAAACGAAGAACTTGCTCTCAGTCATCGTCCCCAATCGCGGAATCCGTCTTCTCCAAAAGCCCTAGTCGCAAAGTCGCAGTATGCTGAGAGTCATCGATTCTCTTGTTTTCTTTTACCAAGTATGTCCAGCAGTGCAGTCTAAGTTAGGCTGACTATGCGGCTGACATGGGAAAAAAAGCCACATTTTTTAAAATGAGTGCCAGCTAAGCAGAAACCGGAACTACACGGTTCTTAACCGGTCATCATGCCTCATATGATCGTTTTTTAAAAGTAAAGATATGTTTATGACACTTTTTTGAGTAGATGGCCTTATGTGACGGTTTGACAAAAGTAGAAGGTCTTATTTGACCCTTTTCTCTAAAATAAATAAAAAAATATATGTAAAAATAGTTAAAATGGTCATCTACAGTAACTTCAGCCAATACAGCCAGAAAAGTAATTCCAACCTTACTTTTTTCTGCTTATTACACAATTCAACGCGCGAAAGTAAGAGTTACGTATTTGGTGAAAAAGTTGGCTGATAAGCTTGATAAGCCGAAAAATGATGTTACCAAACGGCCTCTACATATACCAATATTATGATAGGGTACTCTAGCAGTCTAGCCTAGCCGATACCTATTTTATACTCCTTACGCCCTCATAGTTTTGCCAAAAATTGTGTAAATAAAGTTTGTGTAAGAATGAATTAGTTCACATTTTTTACTTTGATCACTTATGGTACATGTCTATTGTATTTGACAATAGCGAAGTAATGAAAGTGAACAAAGTGAAAGACGTGGACTACATGTATAAATGAAAAGAAAATTTTAAATGTTAAATGAACTACTTCCTTCGTCCTAAATTGTTTTGCAAAATCAAAATTTTTTGGTCAACCAATAATAAAAGTGAAACTTCCATGTCGATAATTAACTCAATTTTTAGTAATTAAAATTTACTAAAACTTGAAAATTTAGAGATTTTTTCTGCTCTTCTCTCCAAATAAGTTGGCCTAATTAGTGTGAATTGGACCGTGTGAACTACTTGTCGGGAGATTAATTAAATGTTTTAATAAGATTTGAAAAGGAGGTATACTTGCTTTTGTCTGAGAGGAATCAATCAAACATTGAATTCATTTTGGAAAAAAAATTGTCAGAATCTTCAGCCGGGAATTGTTTGAGAGGAAACAATCAGCTTTTTTTTTGTATTCATTTTGGAGGAGGTATCATCATCAACCAGCAGTATGTTTATTTTGTTGGCTGTGTTCCTGAATCTGTTCCACCGGAGCGAAGGGGAAACCTGCGCCCCTTCTTCGTGCGGCCATATCGGCGACATTCATTACCCTCTCAGGCTCAGTACCGACCCAGAGCACTGCGGTGATGGGAATCATACCCTGTTCTGTGAAAACAATAATGCTACGGTGCTCTATCTCTACTCCTGGAAGTTCAATGTCCGCTCAATCAATTACACCGCCTCCACAATCAGAGTCTCAGATGTCGGTGTTCGTGAAGGCGATTGCTCCTCCTTCCCAATTTCTTCTCTCAGCGAAGTATTGGTTGAAAAATACGATCCTTATGATCTTGGAATCCTGACGGAAACTATGGTCTTAGTGAGCTGCCCGGTTCCATTGAACTCATCACATATGTTTGACACCTCTCCTTTCCTTACCCGGGGAAAGTATTCATACCTAGCTTCTTACTTCCGAACGTTAAGTGATTTGAAGGACCAGTGCAGCATAGAGAATTCAGTTATGGTACCTTTCGGAAGTGATTATAAGTCGTATGAAGAAGTTCATCAGGGTTTTGTTTCTGGCTTTGATATCTCCTGGGATACTAGTCCGTACAGTGGAGGTTCACTTGCAGAAATACACCTGGCCTATTCATATTTTATTTTTCTTTGTTGTTGTTGCTATTATATCTGACCTTTTCGTTATAACAGCTCCCCCTTCAGTATATATGTGTGAACTTCACGGCTGGTTTGCATTGGGGGATGATGATGATTCCTGCAGGAAAGTTGGTGCGTATGCTAGACCTTTCCTTTGAGACTCAAATTTCATAGCATTCATCACAGCATCATGGAATTAATCAGCCAAACCATTTGATCTAGCTTCATCATTGCTATTTAGTTAATGACAATGAATATGCTCTTAAGCGTAATCCAGTTTATGCGTAATCTTATTTCAAATATTCATACTTATGCTCCTGAACAGTTTTTTTCTCTGTTCAATGAAGATCATAGAAACGTTGGAGGCATAATCATCGAAATATGGAAGACTTTAAAGGGTATTCCTTTGATATTCTCTAGTTAAGATAAGTACAACACATTTTCCATTGTCATACCAAAGTATGTAGAGTCTTATCAGCTGCTTTCAACGTTGTGTGCAGGATCATATTTGGATATAATCTATATGATTGGTAAGCACTAATTTCTGTATCCTTAAATTTCAAGTATACCTTCCAAAACTCCAACTTCTAAAATATAAAAACACATAAACTAAGTTAATTATACTCTTACACGTCTAGTAAGTCTAGTTAATTTGTGTGCCTAATAGATCTTTAAATAGACTAATAGTAAATGAATAATGACATACAAAGTCTAGTATATGATACTAAAATAAATATGATTAAAACAAATGTGGCTTCTTATATGTAGTGGCTATATTTGTAATACTTCGTTACAACAACCGGTCCTTTTCAATTCCACACTATAGTGACCATGATGTCAGGTACATAATAATTTGGATAAATTGGTATTATTAATCTCAACTATTCATGGTCCGATTTTAATAATCCCTATTTTGGATTATTTCCCTATAGTCCCAACTTTAGTCACTATTTTCTTTAAATAGTCCCTCACCGGCTTGCTTTAGTTTTGACCGGAAAGAATAAAGACGTGCTTCACGGGCAGATCTTCAAAAGCGCCAAACATATTTTGATCACTTTCCATGTGAAGCTTTGAAGATTTTTCTGCTAAACCACTCTACACCGAAGTTCGTAATTGAGAAAGAGAGCCGTAACTAAACAACTAAAGTCTAAAGAGAGCCGTAATTCAAGATCTTTAATTAACCCATTTGTTTATCTGATTTTTTTTTCAAATTAAAATCAATATGAGAACTTCCTAAGAAATTCTGAGCACAAGAAGAGTCCGTCGTCTTCTCCACGTTGCTGGACGCGCCCACAGTTCTCCAATAATTTGACGCTCTCCATGTTCTTCGGCATCAATGAGAGGTTTAAACAGGAGAAGAAAAGTGGACGGGTAAGTGTCTCCTGCGCTCTGCTTTACCTTTGAATGTCACTGTAGGTGCAGGGGATTTTCTCCAGCGGTTAAGGGAGGGCCAAGAGGACGGTTAAAGGAAAACCGGTGGTTTAAATGTGGGGGTATTGTATGGATTAACTGGTTGGTATGTTTAAATGTGGTGGGGTTTTACCGGCTAAATAGGTATCCAGTTCCTAGGACTATTTAAAGAAAAGAGTGATCAAAGTTGGGACTATAGGGAAATAATCCATAATAGGGATTATTAAAAGCGGATCGCGAATAGTTGGGATTAATAATATCAATTTTTCCTAATAATTTTAGTCACATTTTTGTACACGAGTTTATTTGAAGTGATATTTTAGGAAAAACATCATACTTAATAGGAAAGTATAAATAAATTACAAACATATATGGATTAAATAATAAAATGTTGTACTTTAATATAAAAATAACTTTATAATAAAAATTTATATAACCAAATGGTACGGTTCGGGAGAACTGATGTATTGAAACTGTAGACTGGTCCCATGCGGTTTGATATTGGTTTGGGATCGGTTTCGTATGAAAAAAGACCATCCCGCTTTTGAACATTGCTAGTAATACTAACTATCTAAATGCTAGCTAAAGCTGCAGATGAATATTTAGAATTGTTTTCTCATACTCCTTGCTTTGTTGTTTGAATAGTACGTTTTGGTGATTGATTTCATATACAGGTCTCCTTCTAGCAACAAAGGCAGCAATAGGTGCTCCATTTATGATTGCGCTGCTGATCTACACATGGGGAAGGAGACATTTATCAGCTTATGACAAAGTAGAAGACTTCCTGAAGAACCATAACAACCTCATGCCTATAAGGTATTCTTATGCGGAGATTAAGAAGATGACAGGGGGGTTTAAGGAGACGTTAGGAAAAGGAGGCTTTGGTGCAGTATATAAGGGAAAGCTCCGTAGTGGTCATTTTGCTGCTGTAAAAATGTTATTGAACTCAAAAGGCAACGGAGAAGATTTCATTAGCGAAGTTGCAACTATTGAAAGAATTCATCATGTTAATGTGGTGCAGCTGATTGGTTTTTGTGTGGAGGGGTGTAAGCGTGCTCTTGTGTATGAGTTCATGCCAAACGGCTCTCTCGATAAATATTTATTGTCTCAAGAAGGATTAACATCAACAATGACATGGGAGGAAATGTTTCGGATCTCTGTAGGGGTTGCTCGTGGCATTCAGTATCTACATCAAGGCTGTGATATGCAAATTCTTCATTTTGATATCAAGCCCCATAACATTCTGCTTGATGAAAATTTCACCCCAAAAGTATCAGACTTTGGACTTGCAAAGTTGTACTCAAAGGCCAACAACAGTATTGCAACAATGACTGCAGCAAGGGGAACGATTGGATACATGGCACCAGAACTGTTCTATAAGAATATTGGACGGGTCTCACACAAAGCAGATGTATATGGCTTCGGGATGTTATTATTAGACATGGCTGGAAAGCGGAATAAATTGAATATATCAACAGAAGATTCAAGCCAGTACTTCCCGCAATGGGTTTACAACCAAGTTTCTGATGGAAGAAATGCTGAGATTGGAGGCACTACAGAGGAAGACAATAAAATAGCTAAAAAGATGGTTATTGTTGGGTTATGGTGTATTGAGATGAATCCTTGTAATCGGCCATCCATGAACAAAGTTGTGGACATGCTCAATGATGACTTGGACAGTCTGCAGTTGCCTCCAAGAGCTGTTCCGGAACCTATAGATGTATTTGTGAATGATGACACAAATACTTCATTCGACTATGCCACAGATTCGAGCAGTTTGATTTCAAAATTTAAGCAACAAGTTAGTGGTAGTACATGAACCGCTTGGTAGTACTATGGAAACAATTGGTATCTAATTCCAATAATGTGGTTTTTGAATGAATAATCGACTAGAATTGTAATGTGATGCCTATTATGAATGTTTGTTTTGACTTTTTAATTGTTATACATGCAGTAGAAAACTTCTAGTATTCTTTCTGAGATTTTATTCGGTGGATTTGATGAATGCAGCAGAAATGGAATAATAGACGTGTAGAAATTAAAACTTGATTAGCCCATGATTTGTATTAGCTCATTCAAAATTGATAAGTACCGTATTTAGGTTCAAGTAGTTTACTTGGTCTTAAACCCAATAGATCATTTATTATTCTGCAAGTGGTGGAAGTTAGCAAGAAGGTGTAGGTTTCTCTAGTGTGTAATTAATGAGTGTGTCTAGATCCTCTACGAATCCAAAAAAAAGTTCCAATCAATATAGTAGCATCTACTCTATACTCTACCTACTCTTACATATAAATACACCCTCCATTCCTAAAATATTCTTCCTCTCAAATATCAAAATTGCTATGGGTACCCCATCTATACCCCATTTCATACCCCATATAAAAACTCCCCTTTTTACCATCCTTTTTACCCCTTTTCTCTCACATCTCTCCTACTCCACCCACTCTCTTCTTTTACGTCAAAACACTCCCCCTTTCCTTCGTTTGAAGCTGCTACAGTACACAAGCCAATCTCCACAAACTTTCCTCCATCTTCTTGGATGGATAATTGGATATCATGGGGACTGAGGTGCGGCATTTGGACGAGTTCAGTGGGGAAAAGTTCAAGTGAATGGTTTGATATGGGGAGATGACGTGGGTGACGGTGGTAATCATCCAGCTCCGGTGGGTTTTGAACTGAATGCGACTTCAAGGGAAGAAGATGAAGAAGGTGTGGAAGTTGAAGCTTTGGAGAAGAGTATGTTGGTTTTTCTCATTTATTGGTATTTTGTTGGTCAGACAGACAACTTGCAATTGCAGCGTCTATCCAGCCTAAACTGAATGTGGTTTCATACTTGTTTTGAACTGAACGTGGTTTCGTAGTTGGTAGAGTGGTACATAAAATGTGTGTGCTGCCAGACAACTTAAAATGTTTGTCTGCGTAGAAGAAATGTTTGTATTCGCTTGAGGAAAAATGTATATGTCTATGTATTAGTAATATTGAATCACTTGTCAGACAACATTTGTCTGTGCTAGACATTAATACTTTGGAACGTAATGCTTGTGTATGTTAAAGTGACAGACAAAATATGTCTGGACCAGACATTTTGTGTCTGGGGCATTGTGGTCGTTTCTACAAAACGTACAGACAAACTTTGTCTATGCCAGACATTAGTAGTCTGGGACGAAATGTTTGTGTATGTCAAACAGACAGACAAAATTTGTCTGTGCCAGACAACTTGTGTCTGACTCACACACAAATTAGTGTGTTCCAAACATTTGGTTCTGACAAACGTCTTGTGTATTCATTGTAGGTATTCACTTTAAGATGATGAATGGCTTAGGGTCATGTTTGAAGAACGCCAGAGGTCGGTACCTTGTTACTTGAACCTACATTCTGGGTGGGTATGTCCACAACTCAACAAAGTGAGAGCATCAACACTTTCTTCGACCTTTTTGTGTACTCTAAAACAGGTCTAAAACAATTTGTGGAGCAACATGGTCGTGCCTTAAAATTTTAAGGCCGAAAAAGAGTTTCAAGCGGACGCATACTCATTTTCAAAATTGATACCATGTGTTTCGAAATTTGCAATGGAGAAACAAATGCAAACAATATACACAATGGTGAAGTTCAAGGACTTTCAAGAGGAAGTGGTTGGCAAGCTTTATTAAGAGTGAACTTTTAGTTGGAATTTGCAATTACTTGTCATTGAAACTTGTGTATTTGTGTTATGTTTGATTTATTTCATAGCTTGCCAATTTCACACATAGTCATAACTATTGCACACAAAAATGTCAACTTTTGCAAGTTTGTCAAAATGGAGTACAGCGAGACAGACAACTATGTTCATCTGACAGACATATTAATGACGTGCACTTTGTCGTGAGGTGCACTCAAAATAAATAATACAATACAACACTTATACGTAGTATAGCGTAGTAAGGTTCGTATCCGCAGGGAAAGGAATACTTCTCTTTTTATAACTAGTAATAAGGGGGGGTTTTAGATTTGTTGTTGAAGAACTTTTTATTATATTTAAACACGAAGATGAACGATTTATGTGGTTTAATTAATGAGAAGAAGACTTGGTTTTGCTTTTATCCACTTAATGAAATGTTCGTCGATCCCGGTTATATCTTTAACTATCTTCCTCTCGAATACTCAATCGAGGAGTATATCCAGTTCATCGAGGGTAGTTATTAATAACGAGAAGCGTTCATTAATAAAACTTACTACCGAGTCAATATAGAACAAGCGCCGTATATAAACTTGATAGTAGCAATAAAATCAAGATGAAAACGATTGAGATTGATAACCTCAACACAAGCGGTTTATTGGTTTAATCAATATAATTAATTCCCCTTGGCTTATTAACCATGAGAAGAATGTATTAACAACCCAAGTTTACTACCGTGAAAGGACCGAATTAATAACAAGCGTATTAACCGACCGATTCTAGTAATAATTAATATATAGAACAAGACTAGTTGATACTTTAAGTAATGCTCAATATATTAATATGGAATAAGAATAGGAAGTAATTAATATTCAAGGAAGAAGATTAAAGAAAATAACTCACAACTTACAAATCATTAAGCTTCAAAGTAGCAAAACCAAGATGAAAGAGTTTAGCTCCTCATTTGGAGACTAAACATGATGAAAAATATAAAGAAAGAACTTGTCTAAACTGAGCTAAGAAGTATATGTGAATTGGTGCCTCTATTGTGTAGGAAAGGAGGTGTATTTATAGGCTTTTTTGAGGTGCAGGTCGGGTACTCGATCGAGTATATATATGTACTCGATCGAGTATGTGTAGAAAGCTGAATTCGATCCATACTCGATCGAATTTAGAGTGGAATTCATAGCTATACCCGATCGAGTATGTCGGTGTACTCGATCGGGTATAGACACTCGATCGTGGGGAAATCTTCTTCTGCATGTTCCTTTGTTTTCGGATCCGATCCGATTTAAAATTTCAACCAGATACTCGATCGAGTATAAGGGATACTCGACCGAGTATAGACAAAAATCAGGATTTCCTTCTTTTGTCTTGTGATTTTGCACCTTCCTTCCACTTTTGGGGTTCACCAACTGTCCTTGAGTGATGTTAGACCTGTTTGAGCTCAGAATAAACCTAATCTAAACAATTTACAAGAATTTAACAAACTAAACTATTACACCGAAAGTGTGTAATTTCCGAAATACTAAACAATCAAAACTAACTAAAAATGTAAATAAACACACGGAAATTACAAACGCATCAATTAACATACCCAGACAGACAAAATGGAATTTACTACACACATGTATAAAACTTCACAACTTAATTGCATTTTCTCAAATGTCAGATTAACATACAACTATGTTCATGTAACCACATTTTCTCAAATGCCACCTTTGTATAGTTTGTAACATATACAAAAACATAATGTTCCCACCAATCGTTGAACATTGTACAACAATGAACATTAAAAGTTGTACAATATTCCACACACATCGTAGATGGACATTCATAGTGTTTGCAAAGCTGGACTATTAACCCGACAAAAATAAATTCCCACGATTATGAAGAATTCCTATGATTCCTCCACCTTCTTCACTCCCCACAATCGAACAGCATATTGACATCTCTTGTTCCACATGTTGGCATATTCACAACCTGGAAGCAAGTCCGTCCTTTCCCATTAAAAGATGCCCTGCAAAGGCTTCAACTATCACTCCACACTCTCCTGACTTGTAGACAGACAAGTACAAAGAAGACATACATTTATCATATGCAGCCAGACAATATATATAATGTAAATCAAGTTTAATTTAATACCCTCCACTTACTTAAAGTATATCTCTAAAATTAAAGACTAATATGGAGTATTGTGTATATATCTCAATAATAAACACAATATTCATTTTAATAAAATGAAAGAGTCAAACAGATTTTTTAAATTGAAAAATGAACAATAAACACATGGATATGAATAAAATTTCATTCAATCATTTCAACAAGCACCTTATGAGCATAAAAGTGAAATATAATAGTTGAATTAAATTTTAATAATAAACCTCACAAATCTGGAAAGGAAAGGAGAAGATAAGAGATGTAGCAAAGAGGGAAGAAGTTGTTAACCAGATAAACGGAGTATTACATATGAAATAAAAAACAAATAAGAAAGAATGAAGAAAAAAAAGGAAAGAAGGGATAGATAGACATACTGAAAGGGTAAGATGCAGATAGGAGAGGTAGCAGAGAGGGAAGACACAGGTGCTCTCGTTGCCGGTTCGTGCGGGTGAGACACCATTGCTAACGAAGGATGGATTTGGGGTGAGAAGAGGGAAGGACTACATGCCGGAAAGGTTGTCGCTGGGAAGTCGGTTTTGGGGGTTGGTTTGAACTTTGAAGTCGCAGGGGTGCGGGAGTAGGGGCCGGAGGATTTGGGAGGAAGGGAAAAGAATTAGGATAAAAATCTGAAATGGGGAGGGAGTGAGGTAAAAAACAATGGGGAGGATTTTATATGAGGTACAAATTGGGGTATAGTTGGGGTACCTGTAGCAAAATTCCTCAAATATTACTAGCCTAATATTTCCTACAAAGTGGTATCATAGTCGGGTCTAAGTAGAACGCAATGGTTAGTGGAGTTTAATCAATTCAATTCACTTACCTCACAAAAGAAAATTGTAGCATAATTCAATTCACTTACCTCCACAGTACGGGGCTTAATTGGTGCCACATGTCAAATATTTCCTACAAAGTGGTATCATAGAAAATTATACATGCCTAATACTCAAAATTCATTCTCATTTTTGCTTATGTTCTCATTTGATCCAAATTATATACGTAGTGTGTATGGGTAAGAAAAAGTCATCTAATGAATTTGGAGGCTCCGATTTCAAATGTAAAATTGAGGCCCCACATCTATATCTATATCTATATTTATATAATAAATCAACCCGTTGAAGAGCCTTTTGAAGACATTTTTGACAAGTCGACAAAATCTTTATTTGAAAATTTGACATGTGTCAACATTAC